TCCATTCTCCAATTGATGGGCATCCCCTCAATTTCCAATTCTCCGCCACCACAGAAAGATTTATCACGTTTTAATCCTGAGTTGTGGGTAATGTTGCCATAAGGACTCAAGTCCTTAGGGAAACAAGTAACTGTTGTTTTCTTGAATTCTGTCAGGGAGCTGAAGCTCAGGGACTCCTCTTTTGGTCCCCTAAGCCTCTGCCATGCTGTCCTAAAAATGTTTTTGCTCCCTGCACTCACCAGGTTTGTGCTCACTCCTCATCTCCCACAGTCATAGCTGGGGATAATGTCTGAGTGACAGTGCTAGGCTGGACTTCCAGAAACAACAGGGGGTCCTTCAATCTTCCCCGCTCAATCTCTGCTATCCTTTAGATAAAAGTTTGGGAGGTGAAAGTTCCTGAGTCTGCGAGGGAAAAAGCTCCTGAGGTGAAATTTCTTGAGGCCTATAGTCTGTGTCCCCCAGGGCCCACAGTTTGTTGATTCAGAGGAATTGGCCTGGAGATATTTACACTTCACTCAAACCAGTCTTTTCTGAGTTCTTCTCATGATGTCCTAGTTGCACAGCTGCTTTATCCCTTTATTCTTGCTGCTCTTCATTCATTCCATGGTGATTTTTCTGTTTCTTTGTGGAGGAAATCTGGAGAGCCTGGAAATTTCTGATCCATTCTGCCATCTTCCCAGAATCCCTTAACTTTCAAATTACTCGAGGCAGATGAATTTGTCTCTACATATAATTGTGACTGAATTTACCTAGAAATAAGGACATCCCTTAGATAACTTGGTGGCAATCCAGAATTCAGGAATAAAAATGAGGGAGGGTCCCTACCCAACTCCCACAGAGAATAGAGCAGGACATCATCTTAAAGTGGCAAGGATTTGATACGATTCCTTCTCCCAATTCAAGGAGCTTCTAGGAAAGGGGAGGTTCTAACTCCTGAACTGAGGAACACTTAGTGAGAGTGAATCCCGACTGAAGCTAATTAAAACAGCAAGAAAATAACTTTAAAGAACAGAAAATACTGGATTAAAGCATTTGTTTTCTTGAAAAGAAAGAGGGGTGAAAAGGGAGAAAGTAGTACTTCGGTTGCCTGAATTCTCAGGCAGGGGAAAATTCACTGAAGATCAGACTACTCCTCTCTCCCCCACCCACCCAGGCTCTAGTCATAGCTATCTTGTCTTCCTCAATGGATAAAGGAGCCAGCCACCCTTGATACAGCCTGGGCTCACTCACAAAGCATTTTCTTCATTCTCGGTGTCTTTGTTTTGCGGCTCTTCTCTCTTCTAACAAAAGTGGGATGGGGCAATTGTTTCTATGGCTTCAGTTCAAAAAACCCATGCCCTGTATTTCTTCCCCCACTGGAGTCCTCCAATTTCTTCCAGTGAGTGAATTAGACAGATTCCTTGAAAGTGATTCATAGAGGCAGCCTCTCCTGGCTTGTAGAGGTCTGTCTCAAAGTCTGCTACACATTGTGGAATTGTAAATCTGTGAAAACCTTTTATCACAAAATTTGGCAATATCAAGTAATATTACAAAATTGAGGATCCTATTTAATCTAGTAATCACATTACTAGGAATTCAATTTAAGGCTGATATTAAAAGGCAAAAAGACACATCCGTACCAAATTTTTTTTGCTGCTTTATTTACACAAGCAAATAATTCAAAGCAAACTACTTGTCCAGCAATTGAGAAATGGCCAATACATTTTAGTAATTTTTTATAATGAAATATTATTGTAAGATTAAAAATGATAAATTTGAAGATTAAAAAATGAATTTATCTATGAAGTGAAGCAGAACACAAAAATCAGGACTAAATTAACATACACTTAACCATAACTGTAAAAAAAATAAGTTATCTCCTCTGATGTTGATAAACAGGCTGGAGACCTCATTAGGAGAGCCTTAAAGTGACTTTTTGCTTTACCAAATGAAGTGTATTAACACATCAAAAAATAAACACAGTAGAATCGTATATTTTCTCCATATTTTATTAATTTCTATCATGGAAGACATGAAGTTTATTGCAGAATATCACTTATGAAAGTCATACTTTTCCTTATACTTTCATTGAACATTCCCACAATGCATGTGTTGTTTTTTCTCACAATCATGTTATTCACATGAAAAAACAGGCACTTAAGTCAATAGTTGATGATATTCTCTAGATCACCTTATTTTGAGGGGGTTGGGGAGGAGTGTATTAATAACGTTTGAGATATTTTCCATACCTTTGGAATCTTCTCATTCAGATACCTTGTGAATTCATCCCTCACTACTCTCATGGATCTATTTCCCCTATCATGGATCTCCTCTGTGTACTCTGAGCTGAATCACCTGCTTTTCCCATCTTTGTTCTGTTTGGTGCCTCTTCAGTAAGTTACACCGGTAACTGTGACGTTATGAACTAAGTTTGCTAGTCCTTCAGTCCTTTATTTGATAAAATAGCTTATTGTAAAATATTTGCAGATCTTTTACATTTTTCTTGTGTTTGTTGTCTTCCTTTAAGTTTTATTCTTCAGTGCTTTTAATATGACTGGTTAATTGTGCATCTTGCCAAGATTTAAGATTTTTTTTTCTTGGATGGGGGGGGTTGTTTTTGTTTTTAGCTTTTATTGTTTCTCTCTGTCTCATGAGGTGAAACTGCTAATAATCTTTCATTATCTTTCTCCATAATAATTTACAAATGAGATTAGATTATAAAAACCAGTGTCGCCTTTGGCTACCATCTTATTTTACTTGGAGTAAGTCAAGTGAATGCTCAATGCAAGAAGCCGTGCCTTGAGGTTGGCATAATAACAATCCTTTGCAGTCACCCTCTGTATGATCTCAGCCGCAACAAAATCTCAGAATTGTTTCATATAGTAATTGTGTTGCTTTAACTAGCACCAGGTGTTCTCGGAGCTGAGACAACCCGCACCTGATAGCCTCGCTATCAATCAAAAGCGTCACATTGTTGCTGTTATCCCTCATTGTCAGGGCTTATACTGTAAGTATTGAAATCTCCCCACACTGCCTTGGGTCCATCCCCTCTGCTCTTCCTCCCCTCCTACCCCGCCACTAGGGGCAGGGCTCTAGCCCATGTGTCTTTGCTTGCAAGCCATTTTCCTCCCTTTAAAAGAAAACTTCTTTTTGATTCTGAACTCTTTTGTTTCTAGTCAGCTCTGTTCCACTGTGGTCAGCCACAGGTTAGAGGCTGGCTCTATCCAGTTGACATCTCTAAGGCACTGTTTTATGTCCTTTGATCACTTTACTGCAGAAATTTATTTATAGTCACTAGATTGTGTGTGTGTGTGTGTGTGTGTGTGTGTGTGTGTGTGTGTGCCTTTTTGGTGGCGCAATTGGGGTTAAGTGACTTGTCCAGGGTCACACAGCTAGTAAGTGTTATGTGTCTGAGGTCACATTTGAACTCAGGTCCTCCTGACTCCAAGGCTGGAGTTCTATCCACTGTGCAACCTAGCTGCCCCTGTCACGAGACTTTTGAATAAAAAATTATGAGTTATCCTTTTCCTGTCCATTACTCATTGCTCTTATTACTAATCTGTTTGAATATATCAGGATCAACTTCTTTCAATTGTATGAAGGATCCTTTTCTCATTTTTATTCCTTATTTTAGTTTTGTGTTTTGATTTTTCCTATTGAGTCAGTTAGGTGACTGTGCCCACAGAGACTTGATTCAGAAATGACTGCCAAGTCAGTAATGAATAATTTTCTATCTGTTAAAGTATAATAAATTTAATCTTTATTATATGTAGTACTTATTGTGTCTAGCATCTACTGATTCTTTTCTGGAAAAGAATCATTCCCATCCCATATTTTCCAATATATTTCTTTCCTCCTCCCACTTATTTCTACTTTTGAATTGAGGTAATTGATGATCAACATGAATGCTGATTTAATTTGGAGGTGTTTCATGGTATTTTTCTATTCCTTTTTCCCCCAAAAGAGATTATTAGTAATTAAGCTGAAATTATTTTCATAGTCATCTCTTTGCAAATATATGTATATACCATGACCACTGCGATATTTAAAGACTAAATGTATCAAAAAATGATATTTCTATTTTGCCTTTAGTGCACAATAAAACCAACTTTGCCAGTTCCCTTTTTTTGTATCTCCAAAGAGGACTTGTGAGCCTGCCTAGCCCTACCTCCCAGCAACATAGATCTTCAATTTCCTCCTTTCTTTTGGTTTCTTTTATGGTGACATAGTCAGATTTGATATGATTTAATTATGCAACTAGTATATATTTTCGTTGGTCACTGGACAAAAAGCTCACATTGGGAATACTAACAACCAAATTAAAGTTTATAGTCAGTCTAAAACCTTTCTGATTCTAAGCACCCTTTGCCTCCTTTTCTACAGCTCTGTTGTCATCATAGAAAAGCAGAGGACACCACATAGTACTAAAGGCCATTTTTTTCTTATTTGTTTTATAGGTTTCAATAGCCAAAGAATTTATCAACAAAATTACCTCTCTGTAATTGGTGAGGCCGATCATTCAAAAACAGACTAAGTTTAGTTCCCAGATCTTACTGGATGGAAACTTTTTCCAGAATGGTGATGCCTTTCCATGCTTATATTCAGCTAGTACTTTTGAGAAACCAAGGTCACGTCAGTGTCATGATGAGCCTTTGAATTAGAACTTCATGGAGGTGAAAACAAATTAAAATATGGAAAAAAGGGAATTTTGAATGTTTTTGTTTTGGTTTTTAGCATTGATTATACATGTAAATATACTAGCAATGAAAGTTGTATATTTTCCATTCCTAGATCCACATGCACAAATACATATGTAAACATATATAAACATATAGTACACATATATGTAAATGCATTACCATTATATTGAACAGCTATTTTATTTACTTGGATTACTTAGCTGTGCCCCTACTTGAAGTCCAAATATAAGACAATCCCTTTAAGTCTTTTTCAGTGCTGTGATTCTAAGTGATTCTAGGATTCTATGATGTCAGAGTATGGTACTGACATTCTGGAGCACTTAGAAGGCTTACTCCTTTTTACCACGACCTGAGCCATGGATCAAGAAGTGCCTTGCCCCTAAGGGGATATTAAGGTAAGCACTTCAGGGAAGAAGATCCTTACTGCCTCTGCTCCAAAGATGAAATGGAGTTCAGAGTTTGAGTATGAAAGTTTTCTAGAATAGTATTTGGAAAAAATAAGAAGAACGCGGGAAGGAGCTGTGATTTCTGTAACAAGGAAACTCTCAGTGTGGGAAACTCCCTCCAGCAAGGATGATCACAGTCTTTTTGTATCTTAAAAATTCTAGTCTTATTAATATATTAGTCTGATGTGGCCAGAGGTAGTGACTTGCTCCATATTAACTGAACTAGTAAGGATTTGAGGTGGAATTTAAGCCAAGGTCCTCTTGATTACAAGTCTAACTATTTATCCACTATTCTATGTTTTCTTTGAAAAGTGATAATAATCTAAAAAGAGCAATATCTCATGCTCATTGTTAGGATAAATAGAAAGTTATGTTTTAGGATGCAGGTACCACCATGGGAGAGGAATAGATGTATTCTTTATGGGAAAAACTGGTCAATCTAAAGGTTGGACTGTAGGATGGAGAACAGGGTTGATCCTGTCAAAAAGAATAAAAATGATGTGTTATATTCAAAATCACTACTTTACTGCTTTCAGTATACAACAAATATTTATTATAGAACTTGTATTGCCTTGGAGGCTCATGCTGGAATTTAGTTGTTACAAAAAACTTGGTACTAATTTTTTTGAATGATATGTTTATAATTCTTAAATGAGTTTATACAACATGGGATAGGTATTTGATGCAAAATATATCATAGGAACTCATTAGCATATTGAAATCTAGAACCATTGCAACTTGGTTATTTGCATTGTTTTCACTTTTATGTCTCCAATCTTACTTCGTAAAAGAAACTGCATTTATCACAAAGGGCCCCCCAAAAGCTTTGGCTGTGTTGTTTTGTTGTTGTTTTTTGTTGTTGTTATTTCCCCAGCCACTATGCAGCCATAGATTATCTGACATAAATATTGGTTCTTTTGACTTAAGTATCATCCATTTTGATAACAAATACCTGGTTATTATTTAAAAGTTAGAATCTAGGTAGCACCAAAGGACTATGAAATGCTGCTGATGGTACATTAAAGAAGGGTAGTTAAAGACAGTGGCTGTTGCCTACAGATTTTAACTTACGTAGTAAACCAATATCATTTCATGACAAGTGTTGTCATTACAAATCAAATGAACCAACTGCCACAATAATATCATGTCTTTTTGACTATATGAGATAATTTTAGCAGAGGGTTATATTTTCTATTTATAGCTTAAAATAGATGATAATGTTATGAACTTTCAAAATAATCCCACCACTCCCGCCAAACAATTACGATCTTTATATTACATTGTAGGCTTCTTAAGCACAAGGGCTTTGTTTTTCCTCTTATTATATACCTAAAGCTTAGTTAACTCAGTGCTTGGAGGCATTTAGATGTTTTTGACTAACTATTGAGAGATCACATGGACTGTAGGAAAGGCTAATGAGTGGGTCTAGAATTCAAAGTGCATCCTCTTCATAAACCCCTCCAGTCCCTCTCATACATGTAAAATGGAACTCTTGTCTGGGTCCCCTGGCTGCAACATCAACTTTCCTAGCTACCCATCTGCATATATGGGAATAAATCATTTCTCATACCCTAGAAAGCAATCTAATTACAAGGAATTTAAAAATCATTTGCAAAGAAAGGATCAGTATAGTTGGAGTTGATGGGAATACAGTTGACAGGGAAAGATGTTTGCAGCAAACTTCCCTGCCAAAGGACTGATATCTAAGATGTAGGAAGATAGAAGATATAGGATACAAATATATCACAAAAAAAGTTATTCACCTATATATAAATGGCCAAGGGATATGTAAAACAGCTAATTTTCAAGAGAGGAGATATAAGCTATCACTAAGCATGTGAAAAATGCTCTAGATAACTGATAAAAAATAAAATACACATTAATGAAAGTTTGGGGTTCCACTTCTCATCCATTAGAAAAAAGAATGATATTTATTTGGGGGGGAGGTTCTAGTAAGATAAGCACTATTGGAGATTTGTAGATTGGTCCAACCATTCTGGAAAGCAGTTTGGAATTATGGTCAAGAAGTCTTTGAGCTATATAGATCCTTAGACAAAGAGATAGCACTAATAATCATGAAATCTAAGGAAGTAAAAGATAGAGGGAAAGGAGCTATATATACGAGGGTATTTATGGTGGAACTTTTTTCTTAGCAAAGAGCAAGAAAGAAAATTGGTGCCCATCAAGTAGTGAATGTCTAAACAAATTGTGTGTGACTATCATGAAATGTTATTGCACTAGCTGTAGAAAATAGACAAATTTAAAGAAATCTCAGAAGAGTTTTGCACTCAGGTACCGAATGAAGTGAGAAACACCAATTAGAAAAATGTATGTAATGACTACAATGTAAAGGAAAACAATTTCAAAAGGAGAGAACTTTGTTCAATGGAATGATGAATTATGACTTTGGAGAACTGATGATGGAAGATGCTTCCCACCTCTTGGTGTAGTTGATGGACATGAGAGGAAGAATGAGAAATATAAATAAACAGCCCATGTGGGAATTTGTTTTATTTGTGTTTATTTGTCACGATGGAGAGGTTTTATTTGTGTGTATTTGTCACAATGTTAGAGGTTCACAGTTTCATGTGCATTTCTGTTTTTCTGTTCTTTATATATTGCAATATTTATATTTGTTGGTATTTGTGATATTTTATGATAGGAAAGAGCATTGTAAATAAAAAGAAAAAAAAGAAAATGAATTAGTCCACATTCTCTGTTATCTCATTTGTTTCAGCATTGGAAATTAGGGGTTGGGGGGGTGGAGAGTAATGAGGTGAATTGGCCAACAGTGTTGATGGGTAGTGAGAGTGATGCAAAGAACTAAAAGGAGGAGAATAAAGAATAAAATGTTATAGGAAGGCAAGGAGGAGAGCAGAGACTGGTTCAAATGGGGATGAGGAAAGGGAAGGCAGTTTGTTTTGAATTTTTTAACATCATGTTAGACTTAATTTTCATTTTCTGAAAAAAATCAGAATATATATGTTAGAGGTTCACAGTTTCATGTGCATTTCTGTTTTTCTCTTCTTTATATATTGTAATGTTTATATTTGTTGGTATTTGTGATATTTTATGATAGGAAAGAGTATTGCAAACCAAAATAAAAAAGAAAATTAGTCCACATTCTCTGTTATCTCATTTGTTTTAGCATTGGAAATGTAAAACCTTTCATAATTTGTTTCTTTCTCCCCCATTTGGTATGGGCCTATAATTTCAACAGTCTAGCTAAGAAGTTTGCTGTTGAAGAAACTTTCATTAATGTATAACTGTTTTGCAACTTACAATTTTAGAAAATTGATTGGAGCACCGAAAGGTTCCATGGTGTTCCTGAGTTAAGCATATGTTGGAGGTATCATTTGAACCCATATTATCCTGATTCCAAGGCCAGCTCCCTACACACTATGCCATTCTGCCTTTCAACTATTTCATGGCTGTATCAAAACAGCTAAGCAACTATACCACCACTATTCTTATCTCCCTCCAAGCACCTAGTGGTTCAAAGAATTGCATGTTTACATTATAGAACAGAATTTTTAAAATGGAATAGGATGGGGAAAAATGAAAGATACAACATCAAAACTTCTAAATTGCTGGCAACCCATTGATTCTAGTGTGCTTCAAAATTTCAATTCCTCAGTAACTGTATCCACTTCTATTAAGATTTGAGTTCTAAGCTTCACTTTCTCCAAATGAACAGACACTCCCAGAGACCATCTGTAGAGAAATGCTACCTGGCATCTCTCCAATGTCAAAGTCACAAAGAGAAAAATGGATCAGACCTACCATGTAGTAAAAGTCAACCCACTACCTCCTTCTATCTTGTGGATATGTCAGCAGCTTCTGGGCTGATCCCCATCCGACAACTAGAGCATTGAGGTCGCTTGAAGGTCTCTCTTAGCTCTGATATGAACCGGTAGTGCATTTAGACTTGGGGCTCCAAAATTAATGACATCATGCTGAAATTTCATGATCCATGCTGATTCTTAGGTGTGCTTACTGTGGACTTCGGGCTTCCTCTGGCTTGTTTCCTTATAAAGCAGGTTGCTACCTTTAGTTTTCAAACTATAACATAATAAACAACTTTTTTGACAACTGGATTTACATTAAGCCACTCAGGCTACACAAATCTAATATACTTACTGTCTTATCATCATGGAAAAACAATTCAAGAGAATCCAAAAGAAAGAAAACTCAGAGCAACCCCAGCTATTAAAAATATGGGTTACACTATAATTTGGGGATAAAGTTACATAAATATTCCAGTTTATTTTTATTATATCTCACTCTACTCGTGTCATCCACTAAACTCGCATTATATAATATCAAATTCATTCATAAAGCAAACATTTTTTAGTTCCTCTCATATAATAAACAAAAGTGAAATAGACCTTGTCCTTAAGGAGCTTACATTCTATTGGGGAGTGGGGTGGAATTCATACATAGAAAATGAAATATAAAATATATACAAATTATTTTCTAAAGTCAAGACATTAGTAACTGGGGTGGTGCTGGATAAGAATAGGCCTCCTCTAGGAAGAAGTGCTTGAGCTAAGTTTCAAAGGAAGCTGTAGTTTCTAACAGACAATGTGAAAAGACAACTCATTCAAAGAGGACTGTGGACCAGCCTCGGCCAAAGCATGGAGACAGGAAATGGAATGTTATGTACTGGGGATAAGAAGCAGGGCAAATTGTCTAGAACACAGAATGTGTGTGGGGCTCTGGCCAAACTGAAGAGACTTAAAATCCAGATAGAGGACTTTAGGTACTTAATCTAGACACAGAAAACCATCAGCCTTTTTTGAGGAAGACAGTGATATGGCTCAACCATTGCTTTAGGAATATTAATTTGGCAGCTGTGTAGAGAATGTATTAGAAGGGAAGGGACTGAAAGCCACAAGATCAATTAGGATGTTACTGCTGGAGTCCAGATGAAAAGAGAAGAAAGCCTG